GGTATATACTGTATATAAAAAAAAATCAATCAATCAATTAATTGTTTATTTACCAAAGTTTCTAATCTTAATTAAATTATTTTAAAAAATTTTTTTTTTTTTAAAGTTACAAATCTTTTTTTTAAAAAAAGTTAGACTATAACTTATACAAAGAAAGAATATTACAATGGTACGTAACGTAAATGAAAAAAAAATAACAAATTTTTTTTTTTTATACAATAAAGTTTTACATATATATGTATGTAATATTGTATATAATATTATTATTATTAAAATCATATTATTATTATTAAATTTTAAAATTATTAAACATGTTTTGGAGATTGCTGATCGGAAGATGTTGTGAAATGGACGTGGGCTATGTTATTATCATAAACAACGGATTTACTAAAACTAAAATCTAAATAATTATTTTGCAGATAGCTGTATTTTTTTTTTACAATATATTCTCGTAATATAAACAAACATCTTATTTAAGTGATTCGGTGTTACTATTATATAAACAACATTGATGTATTGGTCCTATTTTTTTTTTCTTTTTGATAAATGAGCATAAAAAAATTTCGATAATCAAAATTACCAAATATATATAAAGAAATAAAAAGGTTTGTTTATAAGGTTTTTTTTCTTACAGGAGAAACTTTTTTTTGTTTATGTCTATGACTTTGAAACACTTTTTTTTCTTTTTTCTTTATAATGACGATGGTTCTTTCAACCTTAACAGCTCCTTGCTTTTTTATTTATCATTACCTAGCATACAAATACCAATAAAAAGAATACTTCAGCCAAGTAATTTTTTTGTTTATTTCTTTTTGACAAATTTAGAGAATTTCAATACCCCAACAAAAAAAAAAAAAATATCAAATAGAATATTTTTTATTTCGGGTTCATTCATTATTTTTAAGTTTTTATTTTTAGAATTTTTTGTTTATCATTACAAATTAAAATCGACCGAACTATACAAATAAAGTGAGAAATCTGAAACTTTTTTTTTTTAATGACCTGCCTAAATCAGTTCATATGTATAATGTATAATTGTTCATTCATCTTATTTCTTAAATAATCGTTACCTGAGTCAGTGAGTCACATTTTTATATTAATCATATTTTAAGGAGTTTGATGTTTGATGATGTTTGTTTGATGATGTACAGTATACATATGACTCGCTTGATGATCGGAATGTCGATCATCAAGTGAGTCAAATGTTACTTAATAACCCAACATGATTAAAAAAATGTAAAAAATCGTACGGCTAATTGATCTTTATTATTGTAATTTATTGATTACCGTAATCAATTTCATAACATACTGTATATTATATAAAAAATATATAACCTCTTGAGTGAACAAAATCGGTCAAATAGTCTAAAAAAGAAAAATAATTATAAATTATGATATCATAGTTCTTGATAAACCAATTCTTTGAAACATCAAATTCAATTTAGTTTCAAAAGGAAAACCTTTTTACCTTTTACGCCTTATTTTTTGAAGAATAGTTAAAAAATATAAAGTTTGCAGCCATTATTAAAAAAAATAGATTACAAAATTTTGTCAGTTATTCCTTTTCATCTTTCCATCGTACAATAATTACGATATAGTTTCATATTTCATTGTGACTTGTAAATCAATCTTTGAATTTATATGACATATACACTATATTATATATTGCATTATAGTTTGGATTCAAAACAAACCATGTTTAATATAATTTTTTTGTAGTACAAATAAGAAAAAGAAATTCATAATGTGCTACCTATGCACCAATAAAATATTACGACGGTTTTTTTTAATGGCTAAACCCATCCCAGTGAACAAAACTAAAAGGCCAATTTGGCGTAATATAAAAAAAAAACCATTTTTTTTTGTGTGGTGCAATTTATCATATTTATTCCATTGGTTATTTAAAAAATAAATTTCTTTTTTTTTTCTTTTAGACAGTATACGTTTAATTATCGAATAGCACACTAGTAGCACTAAATTGATCAGCATGCACGGGATTTCATATCAGGTGAATTTGCCTAATAATTTTTTCATTAAATGATATATAGGGGAGTATCATAGCACAATTTTTTGAAAAGCGCAACAAATTAATGGTATTTCTACAAAAAGTTTTATGTTAAATTTATACCAAATGGGCTCATTGGCTTTAAATTAGCCCAAATTTATGCAAAAAATAATCCAAATTTAAGCCAGTATAAATTTAATATAAATTTAGTATAACCACTTTTTATAGAGTATCAATTTTTTTTTTTATTTTTAATATAAAAATTATTAAAAAGACTTTAAAATTTTAGAAAAATAATTCATTAATTTAAAATCTATAAATTATATATAAATTAGAAATTTTTAAAACTTTAAAATTAAAAAAATTAAAAATTAACAAATACTTTTATTAAAAGAAAAAAATTTTTTGTTTTTATAAATATTTATTATAGTGAACAAAAATGATTAGAATCAAATTATATATTAAAAACCTTCCAAAATTGAAAAAGAAGGAGAAAGGGTTATATTAAATAAATTATTAGATTTTGAATAGCCTAAGGATAATAAATAGGATTTCTTATAATGAAAAAATTTTAAATCTTTAGAATATATAGCAAAAATAAAAATAAGGAGGATGTGATGCAATGTGATAAATTATATATTATTAAAAAATCACATAATAAAGCAAAATTACTTTTAGTGATTCATAGCAATTTTATTTATTTAAAATAAGTCCAGAAGGTAATTTATCTTACTTCTATTCTCTTTTACTTTTCCAATCAAAATGGTAACATCTTGTTTCTCTAAGGGACAGTCATATTTTAGTTATTAGTTTAGCAAATTACTTTTAGTTCTAGTATATAGGACTCAGTGATCTTTACTGTAATTCAGTTCATTTTGTAAATTAAAAATAAAAATAACAATTTACTTAAAATAATAAAATTTTAGCATTTGTTGTAATGAATTACCAACTTGTGCTAATTTAAAAAAGCGTAAGCCAGATCTATATGATGAAGATTGGAAATGTAATTTTTGTAAAATAGAAGAAGAAACCTTTGATCATTTTTGGAAATGTAGTAAGATTCAAAATGTCGTGCAAGATATACTTATGCGATTAAAAATCTTTTTAGTTAAAATTATACAGGAGTATTCAAAAGATGACATAGATACGCAAGAATTAAATGGTAAAATTAATGAGCTAGGTATGTGGGATATTGGATGTTTATATGATTTTACATTTTTAATGAAAAATCAAGTCAGTTGTCAATTAATAGAATTATTAAGGTGCTATAAAATAATTGAAGAAAAATTGTTGTATAAGGTAATGAAACAAATAACTGGGAGAGTTTTATTAGAATTCAAAGTGCTTATTTGGGAACCAAGGAACGAGTTACAAATAAAGGAAGAAAAGCGGTGCGGTATTAGCGGTAAAGATAAAAAAGCTAAGTCACATAGTAATTGCACTGAAGTGGGTGTTAAAAATGTTGGCTGTAAGATGTTAGAAAGTAATTGGAATAAATGGAATGATTTGGCATTCCATCGAGGCGGTCATTGGGCAAATTTTTAGGTAGATCATGACAGTCACCTTTGAATTTGAGGTCGCATCATAGTTTTTAACAATGATGTGATCGTTTAGGTGACAGGTCGACTTGTTCTTTATGAAAAGTAGTCTTGTTTCATAATGCTTAATTCTTATATGTATTTGTTTATCTTATATTTTGTAAGTTTATATATGTAAGTAAGCGTGATTATAATAGGACATGATCACATCTATAATAAAATTTTTAAAAAAATAAAATAAAATAAAATAAAATAAAATTTTAGCATTAATAATTTAAAATTCCATTTATATAAATAATTGTTAATATATTATTATTAGTTTCAGTTTATATTTTAAAAAAATTAAACTACCAACTTTTAAAAAAAAGAAATAATAATTATTAAATATAATTTTTTATTTACATCTGTAATATTTTAGAAATTGGAATTTAAAGATTTTTTATAAATAAAAAGAATTTTTATAGTTATAAAATCCTTTAAAAATCTTTAAAAATTTATGGATTCTTAAGAATTCTATAAAATTTTTTATTAAAAAATAGAAATGAATCCTTATAAATTTAATTAAAAGAATTTTTAAGGATTCTAATTCCTAAAATATTACTGGTAGAATCAATTAAATTTTTGCTAAAAGGTAAATCTAATAAATTTTTTAATTTTCTTTTTTTGCATATATTTTAAATATAAAAATGAAACTAAAAAGAGTTTTTAAATTAAGTTAATATACAGTATATAATATATATCATTTTTGAATTTTTTGTTAAAAGCTGATATAAAAATATTTTTTTTATTTTTTTCTTGAAATAAGATACCATATTTATAGGTGCCGTCGAAATTCCCTAATTACGGCATTACAGCATTACGGCATATGTCGTAAATAATGCCGTAACTGTAAAAAATGCCGTAATTAATTATGATCACGTGACTTGAATAATACCAAATGATCGGCAAAAAGATCTCCTTTTTAGCACCTTGTGTAACCTTGTGTAACCCATTTCTTTAATTTATTGAGGGACAAAATTTCCTTTTTTTGGAAATTGGTGTAATGTTACGTGATATAACGCTAAAAAAAGTTGACTAGGCATTACGAACGGCTGAAATTAAGTTTAGTCTTATTTATTTACGGCATATTACACTACGGCATTACGGTGTCAAGTTAAATTACGGCATTACGGCATTACGGCAATTACGGTTTACGGTTTTTAATTACGGTGATTACAGCACGTGCCATAACCGTAATAATAATTTCGGTGGCAACTATAACCATATTACCTTAGACTGATTAAACTAAATTTTTAAACTTGGCAGAAAAGTTTTCAAGTGCAATAAAAAAATCATGGAAATCATATCAAAAAGAAACTGCACAAAATCTTAAACTTATTGATGCATATTTTAGCTTTTATTATATATTATATATAGTGCTTCACATGAGCCAGTCCAGCTTGAGCCAGCTTGTGAGCCAGGCATATCGAGCTGAGCTGAGCCGCGGCTCGTAATCAATTTGGCTTGGCTCATTCGAGCCGAGCTTTGATACAGTGGCTCACAAGCTATGAGCTGGCTCACGAGCTCCAGACTTTTTTTCTTTATTATTGTCAGCATCACGTGATTTTAAATTTTGGCCAGAATTAAGTGATCGACATGGAAATTTCCTTTATTAGGAATCCTGTGTAATGCATTTCCCCATTTTTGATAAGAAATAAAATTGCCTTTTTTGGATTATGTAACATTACTCGAATGTTCAAAAAAGGAAATTTCCATGTCGATTACTTAATTCTGACCAAAATTAAAAAAATCACGAGAAATATGCAAAATTTGATAAAAGCTCGGCTCAAGGTTGGCTCGACATGAGCCAAGCTCGAAAATTCTAATTGAGCCGAGCCGGCTCAAATTTTGGCTCGGCTCAGCTCGAGCTGGCTCGTGCGGAGCTTTACTACTAATATACAAATTGTATATTACATATGGGCCAATTTGACTCTTCTTCAATTTTGTCACACAGATCAACAATGTGATTATTGCATGTACTATACGATATTTATTCAGTAATCGTTGTACAGTAGTTTTTCACGTCCTGATGGAAAACCCGTTGTCTATTTGCTGTAAGCTTTGTTTTAAAGCTTTTACAACTTATCAAAAATTATTCGTTAATGAAAGAAATAAACATTCGCACAATAAAACAATACCCCATTTCTATTCTCTTCCTCGTCCTACTTCGGAACAAATGTCTCAATACATAAACTCCTTTATAATTCTTATTAAAAAAAAACTAGGTTTTTCTCGACATGCCATTGGGAAAAAAAGCTTTTCAATCGAAACATTTCCAGAAAACATATTTGTATATCTATTTAAAGATGAAGAAAAGTTCAAATACAGTCCTGCTAAACATAAATATCAATGTTATTTTGGGGGGTTAACAGGAGAAAACAGACTTAAGCAAATACTTCACTATGATCAGTAGAGTTTCCGACAAAATCCTCTAACTAATACTAAAGGTTATGTCTTACTTGAAGATTATGAAAATACGTATCAAGTTAAATTTATATGGAGCCAGACGGTATTATTAGAGAATAATAGAAAGTTCACATTAGGAAGAATGACATGTAATTTTATTACAGACTCTGGAGAATTTCAAGAAAAGTAATGAGTTTATTATTATTTTTTTTTTAAAATTTACATTTATTCATAATTTTTTTATTATAGTAACATAAACCAAACACCTACACCAAATTCACAATTTTCAATATTTCAAGAAGATACATCATCTTTATCCAACAATTTAAAACAGCCTGTTAAGAAGAAATTCCGTTACATTTTACCTCGGCCACTTCAAGATATGAATCAGAGTAAGTAAATTCCACTTTTAGTCTTTGTTTTCTTTGTCCCCTGCATCAATATGTCGCATCAGAATTTCTTGCGGCGTATTATTTATTAAATAATATAACTGACGATTTTCAAACTCCATAATATCATATACTACAGGTTTTCCTCTGGTTCCACCACCCATAGTTGTTCCACAAAAAAATAGTCTAACCTAAAATTTATAGATAAAAATAGAGATAACGTAATTAGTTAAACAAAATGATTTAAAAAAAAAAAATAAAAGTGATATACCTGATTATGGTTTTTTTTTTCAATGCTTGAAGTAGAAAAAACCCGCAATCCCATATTTTTTTCCTTTAGATTTCGCAAAAATTCTGGAATGTGCTGGGAAAAAACATGCATATAAGGGGTAACATCCTCTTTTCTATATAAACCCGGTATTTGTGATGCTGAGTTCATTTGCCCCTGACTTGGCCGACAAAACAATTTAATCCATTGCTTTGCTTTATTTTCGAAATTATCAATTTCTGAATATGTTAGATTAGGACTTCTCAAAACTAAGTATAAATCATAAAAATCACGCCATAGTTTTTGAATTTCTTCACCACGTTTTCCTGAAATAAAATTAACAATAGGGAAATGTTGCAAAACCTTTTTCTTGTCAGGTCCCATTAATGAGGTCCAGTCCCACTTGCCACTATTTGATCTTGATTTAAAAAATTCAAAATGAACTTTAATTGACTTCATGGTTTGTTCTATTTGATTTTTAATTTCTCGTTCAAATTCCCTTTTTTTGAATAAATCATTAAAAAAACATTCCATTAACACATCTGAAATACGTAATAATAGATGTAATTCGTCTGGAATGTAATTTTCTTGCTTAATAGCAGGAAATAAAGGTGGTTTTTTTTGACCTGTTAATTTAAAATAATGTTTATAATTAATTTAACATAAATTATTTTAATAAGTTTACACTTACACTTTGTATTTTTATTAATTGGACAACATAAATCTACATTCCAACGATTACTTGCTTCACAATCACAATATAGGCAAAAATATCTTGCATTTGGTGCATTTAATCCCATTATATTATACATAAATTTCCAGTCACCAGAAAAATATAATTCAATTGGCCAATGCACACCATCAACAGATATTCCATTTTCTTGAAGATCTTGGAGCTGATACTTAAATAGATTTCCAACTTTAGCTAATGTTTCATATTTTTCTTTACCTATAAAAAGGCAAATACTAATTTCTCATTATTTAATAAATGTTCTAAAAAATTACAAAATTAATACTACCTATACTGATGATCTGGTTTTAATACTTCATCTTTTTCATTTAATAAACAAATAGTTAACATCACATGATTCTGTTTGCGGCCCACATTTCTACCGTCTCCACCAAGTTTCAAATTAATTGTATCTCCTGGTTGAAGAATTGGAGGATTTGATTCATTCCAAATAGGAATAAATATTTGAAGAAGATTTCTAATAGATCGATAAACACCATTACCAATTTCTTGTTCATCAACCATGATTCCATCAGGATTGCTTTGATGTTCATCATCATCATCAAGTTGATTAACCTCTTTATTAAGATTAATTGTTCCGATTGGTATTTGTTCATTGATTAATTTTGTAATTTCTATTCTTCTTTGTGCAACTTGATATTCACGTGTCAATCGTGCTTCTACAGCAGCAAGCCTTCGGTAACCATCACGTCCTAATAAAGCTTCATCACAGGCACGCACATAGGCATCTAATTTTATATGATCTAATAATAGATTGTATTTTATATTAATAATATGATCTTCATATTCCAATTCCATATTACGTAAGTGAATTGGCTCCCCGGACTCTGAAAACATCCGATGTTGTAAAATAAGCTGTTTGATTTTCTTGTGAGCATCTCTCCCAAATGATGCATATCGTTTATTTTGTTATGATACTGATACTTCACTAAGGGGTCGCTTTCTTTTGTCAATATTAGTAGTTTTTGCTATAGTTAATTCTTCAGTTCGTGCTTGATGTAATATTTCAATATCTAATCCAAAAACATGTATCCCAGAAAGTCTAGAATTTTCTCGGCTAATTCTCTATAAAAATAGATGTTACATTTTTAATATTTTTAGAAATTATAGTTAGACATAATAATTAATACATTAAATAATTTCTAATTTCTAAAAATTTACCTTTAAAAAAGCATTTATTGCCCCACTTGCTGATCGTTCACTAGATATTGAATATTCTGCCCATCATTCTTTACATGTTATAGTGTATAAAACCTTGTTCACATTAATAAATGATTTTGTTATATAACAGATAACAAATTACGCTTATTAGTTTAAGATCATCACTCACTTTATTTACCGGGATGTAATTCGTTTCACAACGTATTGCTTTGTTTGCAGCTTCCGTTTCTATGATGTATCCATCTGGAATTTGATATTGAACGATGCTACTACTACTTTTTTGCGTGTATTTAATATTTTGTGGATAGTATCCAAGTGCTATTACCTTATACCTTGAATGAACATTTCCGATAGAATATAAGGCATCTATGTAAGGATTATTAGGATAATCATGACAAAAAACTCTGGCGACCTATATAAATTATAAGAAATTTAGCAAAAATCTAACAATAATTATATTATTGCTAACTCACCATGGTGCAATTCTTTTATAAAATGTGACTAAACTTCGTTTTAAGTGCAACTATTTATAAAGGTTCGTATAAGACTACTTTTTATAATATTTCTTAATTTTGTTAATTTCGAAATGAAACTGATCTAAAACTGATCTGAACTTGCGATTTCAATAGCGAAAAGGTTATGTCCTGTGCGGTTATTGGATTTCTTTTTTTTTTCACGCGTTTTTGGTACTTTTTTGGTGGGAGTTTTTTTTATCACACATTTTTGGGTGGTACACCAGTGGTACAACTCACGATCTTGGGTGGTACAACTCGTCAACATCACATAAACTTATTTAGTGAGATGAGCACGATCAGCCCATATGAGTAGTAGGTTTATCTCATGCATTGGATCATTTGTTCTAGCAGGTAAAGAAATTAATATATAAAAAAAAATTGTGATTATCAATTTAGAAAACAGCAATGAATTTAAGGGAATTAATTAAAAAAATTATGATTACTTGAGTCTGGGTTTACAAGTAACCACTTTTCTTTTTTTTAAAAAATATCTGAAACAGTATTTTGCTTAACTTTATATAAAACAGCAAGTTCCTCTTAAGTAGGGTGTGGCGTTTTCTGAGAATCTAAACAGAGTTGACGCTTTTGTGCATGTGTCAATACAACTCTTTTATTTGGTTAGAAGGTATCTTGAACAGACTTCCTTTTCTTTGTTGTTGAGACATCATTACTAGTTAAAACATGACGCGTTAAAACAAAAAAAGCTAGTATATATGCTGGTGTAACTTGAAATATCGGTATATAGTACTATATATTACTTATTAAGGGACAAAGAAATTGCATCGGTATATGTTACATCATGAAACAATATGTAATATCGGTATAGTGAGGTTTTTTTATTAATTGTGAAACGGGACAAGGGAAATTTATCAGTATATGTCAATTATCGGTATATAAACTATCGGTATATCGAGGTTAGACTGTATGTTTCCTTTTCATTAAACTTTTACAGTCTGCTTTTAGTAACTGTTCTAAAAAGATTAAAAAGATTAAATTTTTATTTTTTCCTTGATTGTGCACTAATCAAAATTAAATTTTTTGGGAATAAACTAATAATTTCAATATTACCACCCATAATTTTATGATCTTGATGTTTTCCAATTATCTCATGATTGCATATATTGATATTTTCTTTCTTTAATAAAATTATTGTGTCACGTATCCAATAATTATGTCCTGCCATCGTAATACTATTGATATTTTCTATGCAACTCGCAGTCCATAATCTTTCTTGTTCTTGTTTTAATTTAATTTTAAAAATCTTTTTTAGTTTCTCATTACCATTTGCTTGATATATCAAATTCTTACACAAGCTTTCTAACTGCAAATCATAAATATCCATACTGCACATCAATGGGAGTATCCGTTAAAATATATTATAAAAAATTCGAATGGTGTCCTTTTTGTCATCATTCAAGCAATGAATGCCAATGCCGATATATTTTTGAGGATCTACTAGATAAGAAATTTCTACCATATAGGCCAAATTTTTTGCATGGAATGCAACTTGATGAATATAACGAAGAGTTGCGACTAGAATTCAAATTTCATGGCAAGCAACACTATAGTCTTAATTCAATGTTCCATAGGAGAGGCCAGATAGATTTGGATGAATAGAGAATGCGTGATCAGAAGAAGCGAGATATATGCAAGGAGCAAGGCATATGTCTTATTGAAGTGCCGTATACTGCAGATTTTTATCCGTTCATTAGATATACATTAATCGAGAAAGGATTTTTGGATTAAGTGAAGCCCAACCCTATCTTCCCCAGTAACACCATCAAAAAAAGCTTGGGCATGTGATTTTTGGGCATGTGATTTTGTTACATACAGCACAGTTTGTGGCAACTGATCTATTTAAATATTTATCACGTATTATTTAAGCTATTATTTAAGCTTTCCTTTCTTTTTGCGTCTACATTACCAATACCAAAGAATACAAATTTTTATTTTTAAAAAAAAAGTTGGCTTATTTTATTTACAATAGCTACTTGCAGAAATATATGAAACCTGTAGAATAAACCTAATATCTTGGAAATCACCAAGTAAGCAATAATACCAGTTCAACAAACTAATTTGCAACTGTTATTTGACAGCCTAATTAATGCTACCTTCTCTTCTAGAAAAGCAAAACTAGTCTGCATCAAAAATTAGTAAGGCAAAATAAGTGAACCATGCGTCCATGCCATTAACATGGAAGGCATATTGATAGCACTCATTATTTAAAATAATTTAATGTATTTTAATAAATTAAAATTGAATAAATTTTATTGTCAAATTAATATTAAATAAAATAATTACAATAATTTATTAATTTAAAAGAATTTGTTTTACTTTTATGAATTAACATCTATAAAATTTCATTATATTCTCAAGCAATCATCTTTGGAGTGGAGTATCTTAGGGTAAGGAAAGTTACTTTAGGCTGAAATACTTATCTTTGAAGATAACATTGACGTTGGAGTATCTTAGGGTTAGGGTAAGGAAAGTTGTTTTAGGCGGAAATACATATCCTTGAAGATAACATAGATGTTGGAGTTTCTTAGGGTTAGGGTAAGGAAAGTTGTTTTAGGCGGAAATACTTATCCTTGAAAATAACGTAGACATTGGAGTATCTTAGGGTTAGGTAAGGAAGGTTAGTTTAGGCTGAAACTTTTACTTTTGGAGTTGGTGTTGACTTTAGGAAGTTAATTTAGCAATAACTGCGTATTGCAATTTCCATAGCCACACTTAGCCGCAGTCAAATCACATGAATCACGTGCCCGAGCTTTTTTTGATGGTTACGCTGGGGGAGTTTGCCCAACCCTTGAAAGTTCACGTGATTTTGGGCGAACTAAGTTCGCTGAAATTTCTCAAAGAAATTTACTAAGAAATTCATTTCAATTTATCAAATAAACAATACTATATGAAATTTTTTGTGTATAACGTTGACGAGATTCCCAGAAAATCTTTGGAGCGAATGAAGGGAAATAAATATAGTCCAGACTGGTCTTTTCGCCTTTTAGTAACTGGAGTCTCACATAGTGGGAAAACTAATATGGTTATAAACCTTATTCTTGGCAACAAACTTCAGCGCATGTTTAAAGGCAAGAAGGGGGATAGATATATTAAAAATGATGATCTTATATTAGGTGAAAAGCATGCCGAGCCTAAATGGGAGCTGGTAAAAAATGCTATTCATATTTTTGCGAATAGTCCTGACCCATATCGGGAGAATATCTCATTTCAAACAATAAAGGCCGAAAAAATTCCAGATGTAAGAATCAAAAAGAATACAAGAACGTATCATCCCTTACTTTATTAGTGGACGGCATCAAAACATCTCACCAATATACGTAACTTAGAAATATCAAGCCGTGCCAAAGATAATTCATGAAAACATTTCCCATCTAGCATTATTTAATAATAATGAAGGGAATGGAGAGGATCTTATTCGTATTATACATCAATTTGTAAATGATTCAAAAAAAAAGCATCCAAAATCATTGAAAAGCATTTGCGAAATCAGAATTTATAGTTTTTGATTTTACTAAGGTGATAGATGATCCATTAGCGATTAGACTAGGTTGGGATACTCCTTTGAAATTAGAAGAGTAAAATCTAAAAATTAGTGAATCTTTGTTCACAATGAAAAAATTATCCTTAAATGATGCTTGTACTATTGCCGAATCTCATGGTGAAATATACCTTTCAACTGAATACAAAGATAACAAAACCCCATTAATATGGCGCTGTTCTAAGAATCATACATGGTATGCCCCACTTCGTAAAATTAAAAATTGTGGAACATGGTGTCCACATTGTGCAGGTAAAGTAAAACGCACTCTTGAAGATATCAAAAAAATCGCATTATCTAAACATGGAGAGTGCCTCTCAACTAAGTATAAGGATAATCAATTGCCATTATTGTGGCATTGCAAAGAAAACCATTTATGGCATGCAACTCTTGGCAATGTGAAAAGTGGTAAGTGGTGTTCATATTGTGCAGGTAATGCTCGTCTTACTCTTGAAGATGCCAAGCAAATTACACTTAGCCGAAATAGTAAATGTCTTTCGACCACATATAGAAATTCTGATACTCTAATGATGTGGAAATGTCATAAAGGTCATATTTGGAATAGCCCGCTTGAAAGTCTTTTAATTTGTTTTTGAAGAATATGACTAATTTACCTTGATTGATACTAACTTGTTTATCTCCCCATGAAGATTAAGATTGGTATTTACGTACATCACGACGAATAATAATCTGTGTGGTGCATAATTTTTATTAATGTTAGACAAAACTATCTAAAAAGCCAGCAAACTGGACATACCGCCGCTTTTTCTTGTAACCACGTTTCCCAATCCTTTTGAATGTTTGCATCCTATTAAAAAGGTGCACAGGGTTAGAAATACGGTAATATAACATAAGTATGTTCAAGAAATCTTTAATTACATACATCGACCGTTTCTTTCTTTTTTTGGAGTTATTTTTCAGTTACAGATCGTTGGTATTCTCCAAGGCCAGATTAAGCACATTCCGATATTTGTCAATTGCTCGAACCCGATTAGCCGGACATATATGTCGGAAAAATGAGAGAGGATTCGGATCTTGAGAGTTCAACATCCAGTTAATGTGACCTTCTTGCCGAGTTATGTTGCGTGAGGTTTTGTTGCGTGAGGTTTTCATTATCACTTTCGAGTACGATAAATAAAAAATTAAATATCTTGTTGAACGAAGTAAAGGAGAAAATAATTGAAAGTGAATTGTTATTGCACATAAGGCCGGCCACCGACTGGATGATGACTCGCCATTGCTGGCTTCCGATAGACTCTCTCTACCGCAGACGCCCTACATGTTTAACAACTCTAATAACTTCTGTACAATAAAGTCAGCCGGCCACCGACTGGATGATGACTCGCCATTGCTGGCTTCCGACAGACTCTCTCTGTCGCAGACGCTTCCTTTCTTGTTTAACAAAAGTTATTTTTATAAAAAGAAATATGGTTACTTAACTTACCTGACTAATGACAATTACACTGGAAATATAATTATTGTATGAGTAGTTTCAAAACTTTGTTGTTTTGTTGTTTTTATATTTTTTTAACGATTTTATGTTACGATGATTTATGTAACGAGGATGATCCAAAAAAAGCGTCTAAGATTATTGTTTTTTTTTAAAAAAAAAAAAAAGATTATCAACAATCAGTTATATGACAGAATGATCAGATTCTAATCAAGTGGAGCTGGAATGCCAAAATAATTACCATATGTTAATTGGAGGACTTTTAATATCATTCCCGCCAAACCTTATCATCAACTGTATCAAATTTCGTTAAAATCATTCCATATATACATATATACATATATATATACACCTATATGTTTTGGATTTGTATTCTAGAAAAATCTTTCAAAGCTTAATTAAATTTCGTAAGTTGATCAACTGCTTCATTACCAACTAATGCTTCACCGACAAATACAATTTTATTCACTGAAAAAAAAACTAACTAAATAAACTAATAGTATAAATTCAATTAGTTAACCCAAAAAAATCACATAATATATATATATATTATGATCGGTACGTACTTTCGCTAACACTCGCATTATCTGTTATTGGTTCGTTGTTTTGCATACGTCCCGCCTTTGTTTGTTTTGGCCAAAAATGTAAAATATAGGCCAGCAACAAATGTCTCCATCGTAGTAATCCTTTGCTAACCCAGCATCTTTTCCATATCCACGTCAACATTGAATTTTTACCTAAAGCAACATATACACTTAATTGTTCTATGGCACCTGTATCACATGCTGCAATAAGGATCTTTAATCCATTTAATCCATTTTGAAATAAAACAAGTTTTTGATAAATTTGTGAACCATAAAAGAGAAGACATTCTCATATCTTTACAGATAGTTCCTGAAGAGACTAGTAAACATATCTATAATTTCGTTCTCAAAATGACCACTAATATCTAAAATTCCAGCAAATAGAGGCAAGCGAGCCTATTCAAATAAAAAAAGTTTATTACCACAATTAATTTTCTCCTGAATGAAATTAACCGATTTTAACAACTAAAAGAAATATTAGTATATAAAAACAAAATAACCTGATTAAGTTCATCAGTCATAATAACTGGTAGCACTTTTTAGTGTCTAAAATATCCAGCGAACCCGTTTTCAGTATCATAAATAAACTTTTCCATCCTGAATCATCTGCTGTAATTCTTCCATATATCTCCAATTCAACATTTTGTTGTATTATTCTATAGCTTTTAAATTTCATTGACATAAATGGTGGATAATTTACAACTCCAACACCAACTCGAGCATCGAAAAGCTATGATGCAGCCCAAACTTGATGAAATTTTCCTTGCGCCGATTTAAAGATAACTTGGTTTAGCTTAAGCATAAGACAATTTCGTTATACTTCATCTGACGCGGCCAAGAAATCTTTAATCGGTATCTCCCAAATATAATCTGATGTTGCAAGATGGTTTTCTCCCCATAACACGGTACATTATGCCCCCACCTTTAGTAGTGGACTGAATAGTTCTCGGATTGTCATCATATCCCATAACTTGATTTCTCACATTGAGCTCTCAACATTTTGGTGTGTACCATCATACATTAAAACTTTTTAGTTTCCTTCGCAAAAAACACCTCTATAAACGATAAATATGTAAGCATGTCTCTATTTTTATTATTTATTTTACAAATTTAACCCACCTTTACTCCAATAAAGCAAGTCGTATAAAGACATGAATCAAGCTGAGCTTGCGCAATATCACGTAGTAAATCAACTGATGTCTTTGGTGTGAGTATACGTTTCAACAACATTTCCATAGATTGTTTTACAGTTGACTAAATTCCTTTTTAAGTTAAAATTGCTTTTAATGACAAAATTTATTTAAAGCATAAACATACTAGTAACATACTCTTAAAGCTTCCAGTCTTTTATCCTACAAGTTTTTTATCTTTGGCGGAAGTATTGTTTCATTATAATCATCTCAAGTTCATCGTCATCTTGAATCTAAATCTTGGATTCTATAATATCCATCTTCAATTGACTTTGGTCAACTGGATCAACTGATGACGATTCATCACTATCATCTTTATCTCTGCTATAATCCAAACTTTCTATCTCTTCTTTTGTCAATTATCATCCCATACACACATTATTTTCTTTATAACTTGCTTTTTATCGCGTTACTATATAACTCTGATGAAACATTAGGTTCGTTAGATTTCCAGATTGTTTCCTTCCACCACGTCCTCACTTTCCACTATGTAGATGAAGTTCTTCAATATTATGAACACAGACTTTACTGAGCCTGTCCTTTCCAATGAAGACCAACAACCTTGGAAAACACCCCGACCAACTAATTAAAAATATAAAAGAACTAAACCAACGTCTTTAATTTCATCTTCACTGATAATCAGGTTCGTAGGAAGTTTTGATATATTATTCACGCCTGAATAAAAAATTTACTTTATATAAAAAATTATTCCTCAAAATAAACCGATAATGTAATACTATTTTGAATATAAATTACTTTTTTTTTACCCTTCTGCAGTTTTTTTTTAAAATTTTTTTAATTTTATCAAATGGTTGCGCTTTGAATTTAACATTATTAAATAATATTTTAAATCTTAGAATCCTTTTCTTTTTTAATATTGTCAAAATCCTAATCAAAAACGAATTCATTAGAGATAAGACTGACAAATTTATCAAGAACTTCTTCAATATATGCAAGTTAAAGAATTTTTTGATAAGCAGCCTAGTTAAATAAAAATATACTAGTCTTAATAATTAAAGTATTAAAAACTGATTCGTAATTGATAATAAAGTCAACTCACTTTATTAGACATTTACAACAAAAATAAGATCTAAATCATTGTAAATTTTAAGCTCTAAGAATCTTTAATAAATTATTTTCTCTGGCACTTTCTCCAGTTAATACATCAATTAAAGAATTAAACCAGGTCGAAGTAATACGAGTAAAAGAGAATAATTCCAACTTTCGTTAGAATTATAAAGAAAACAAGCAGTGAAAATACCGTTTTTTTTATCATCAGCTCAAATCTAAATGAGGAAATTTTGCAGATGATAATTTACTGCATTTACTTTGGTTTTCACGTGCTTGAATATTACAATATATAAAAAATTAAAAATCTCACGATTCCCGAATTTTTTTCTCCAACATAGAAAAATACTGAATCGAATGTGACGAATTGATATTTGATAATCACCAAATATATTTACGTGATCACATACATACTAGTGATTTCAAGCGTCTTTCGCCATCATAAAGAAAGAGGAGATATAAGCGGAGTTTGCACCTACTCCATGGTGTTCATTAATTAGATGATAGTATAGAACGAGAAAAATTATTCAACACTTTGTAATTCAACAAATTTAGTGAATTAATAATATCATTGAAAAGATTTCTTTGGACTTGTACTGATTGATACTCGAATAAATTTATTCTATATAATAGTATATTTTATAGCTTAAAATATAATCACTGATACAATTCCATTGGACTCAAGAGCATTCGTTTATCTTGACACTAAGGAATTGAAGGAATTATGTTGAAGATGATTATTTGATACCCACTCATCTCAAGCATTCGAGGCATGCAAACGAAGCGTGTATTTTGTAGAATAAATATTATTAAGGGACGTTCAACATAATAGGAATAAAAAGACTTTATCTATCAAGCAGAGTAAGAAAAAATTTTTTTTTAATAAATAGTCAGTAGGATATCCATCAAATCTCAAACAATCGAATTCGATAAATGATAATGAAAAATTCAAATTTTCAAAACACCATAACTGATAAGCTATAAAAACACACTATTAAAAACTAGGAAGCAAAGAACATTCTAACTGAGTAATCTAATAAGATTTTTTATATTCATAGTGTACAGTGCACGACTAGCGGGATTGGCAGCATGTTGAAGGGTGTCGTTTCTTTTGTAACTCAGATTAATAAACGAGAACCAGCTGGACAGTCATATTATTAGACTATTAATGGATTAAAAAAAACATAGACAAGTGCATTAAGTGCTTTTATAGCATAAGTACTTAAATTTAAACGTTGGTCTGAATTGTGAAAAGATATTTGTTATTAGGCGAAGTTGACTGTATGAAACAATCCATAGCACTTATTCTTTCCGTTCCCGACTTCGCTTGTAAAACATTGTCCTTAGGAATAAACGTCTCAGGGGGATAATACATGATAGATTCTGGGTCATACGGACCAAAACACACCACATCCCGTCTCACAACTTTCAAAAATTTATATCATCTACTTTCGCTATAACGGTCAAATATTCGTTACGGCCTGGACGATAGTATTGGTATTCATGATAGAACCCGAAGCGTGTATCAGTTCATGCATGATAGCACTACCTTTTGGATATTGATGATTTTGCGGGTCCTTGATAACCGATAACTCCTTTATAATTGTGAAATGAAATGAGATAGAAAGATAATGAATTTAAATTATAGACGAAAATAGTAATCAGATCTCCGCCTTGCTTATCAACATAGCTTTCATTGCACATGTCACAATGTATTTAAGTTCAAAGGACAGAATTCACAATGGAACGATTCAATTTTCCCAAAGTTTTGTTCGGTCGTTGATACGGGCATCGGAACATGGTTTATTCTCTTTATAAGAGGAGACAACATAAGTATCGGTCCATTTATGAGCTTGACCGCAATAATCAACAGCTTGAGTTGCAGTATAGTTGACTAATTGTAATATATTTTTGTAAAAGAAATTTATTTTTTTTTTTAGTGTTCGTTAGGTAAAAAAAATTTTATAAAAAATAAGTTTTTCACGAAATCAAATTGTTTTTTTAAATCAAAGACACCTTTTAAAGTATCTCATTTTTTGTTCTCTCAAAATATTATTAAACTCATTAAAAAAGAAGTTTCGAAAATTGTTTTTTTTTCAAGGTGAGAAATAAATCTTGCGTTTCTTTTTTTTGATACATATAAAAATATATCACAAGGAATTTTATTAAAGGAGTTTTTTTAAAAAAAAATTTTGAGAAGAACTATACTAAATTTTCAAAAAAAAAAAAAAAAAAAAAT